ATACATTTGTTGAATCATTCCAATTTAAACAATAAGACTTCATCCACAGGCATTCATGCAGTTTAGCAAGTAAACACATAGCCTCATGGCAAGCATGTGAAACATGGCAATATGGCAATCACACTTATGTAAGTATGCTAAAGCATAAAACTTACCGAGTACTCCAAGACAAAACAAAAACTATTTAGAAACAATGCATGATCCTAACTATACAAGATGCCTAATGCAACACATGCAACATGAAATTAATAGACTTGGCTACTAATATGGCATTTGCAACACTTAACACGCTTTGAAACATGTATTCAAGGAAGTATTGAACTGACAATGCAGTTTGAATGATGCGCCGAGCCTCGGTGCATGAAAGACAAATGAATGGATGCAAACAAGCAAGCATAAGGTATGCTAATTGAAATGTCCCTAATCTAACCACCAAAAGCGAGTAAATAAAAGGGAAAAAGACGTGGGGTTGGAAAACATACACATATGCATGCATGCTTATTACAACATTATGCCCTCGCGAAGGAGGGTCCGAATGGATAAGCTAACTAGCTACGCTAATTATGCTAACTAATTACAAAATGAAACTAATTAACTATTCTAAGCTAATTATTACAACAATTGAAACAAATTAACTAACTATTCTAAGCTAGCTAAATATTACAAATCGAAATTGAAGGATTAGTTACACTAACTAATTAAGTACAACATTTGAGCTAACTAGCTATTCTAAGCTAACTAAAGCAATTAAATGGCCTCGAGGGTGAGGGACGCATGCATGCTCAGTTGCTCTACCCGAAAATGCCACCGCCTTGCCATTGCAGCCTCTGTTTGCACATTATTTGAACACCAACAGTGTTGCCAACTTCCAGAATGCTTTTGTTCTAACTCAGGAGCACACTTGTGAAAATTTTCATTGGTGGCTGGTTGGCTACCAACGGTGGCCGTCGACTACTGCTAGTGGCTGTCGGCCACCCCTACCCCGAACTTCCTTTTTTACTACAACAGAGAGCAAACAGAGGCAAAGTAGTGTATTCTCAAGGTTTGTGTGCATTGTTACTGTAATAACCCGACCCGCGTATATGATTTTGGTATGATTTCAGTCCCTAACTTTTGTGCTTTTAAGTGCTCATTGTGAAATTTCATGTGAACTTAAGTTTAATTAAGTGAACTCTATGTTTAGGAATGCAAATTTGTTTAGTAAGGAAAATATCTGTCACAATTGGAATGTCTGACTCAAAAATTGAGAGCCTTAGAGGCTTGATAATCCAAAATTGATTATACAATTGGAATCAACATAATTTTTAAGTACTAATGAGCATATCTGTGAAATTTTAATTTGGGATGTTTAAACGATTACTTTTTGTCCTATTCACCTCACCTCTTATAGATATATGTGTGTCTAATTATGCTAACTAATTACAAAATGAAACTAATTAACTATTCTAAGCTAATTATTACAACAATTGAAACAAATTAACTAACTATTCTAAGCTAGCTAAATATTACAAATTGAAATTGAAGGATTAGTTACACTAACTAATTAAGTACAACATTTGAGCTAACTAGCTATTCTAAGCTAACTAAAGCAATTAAATGGCCTCGAGGGTGAGGGACGCATGCATGCTCAGTTGCTCTACCCGAAAATGCCACCGCCTTGCCATTGCAGCCTCTGTTTGCACATTATTTGAACACCAACAGTGTTGCCAACTTCCAGAATGCTTTTGTTCTAACTCAGGAGCACACTTGTGAAAATTTTCATTGGTGGCCGGTTGGCTACCAACGGTGGCCGTCGACTACTGCTAGTGGCTGTCGGCCACCCCTGCCCCGAACTTCCTTTTTTACTACAACAGAGAGCAAACAGAGGCAAAGTAGTGTATTCTCAAGGTTTGTGTGCATTGTTAATGTAATAACCCGACCCGCGTATATGATTTTGGTATGATTTCAGTCCCTAACTTTTGTGCTTTTAAGTGCTCATTGTGAAATTTCATGTGAACTTAAGTTTAATTAAGTGAACTCTATGTTTAGGAATGCATATCTGTTTAGTAAGGAAAAGATCTGTCACAATTGGAATGTCTGACTCAGAAATTGAGAGCCTTAGAGGCTTGATAATCCAAAATTCATTATACAATTGGAATCAACATAATTTTTAAGTAATAATGAGCATATCTGTGAAATTTTAATTTGGGATGTTTAAACGATTACTTTTTGTCCTATTCACCTCACCTCTTATAGATATATGTGTGTGTTCTTTGGCCATTTAATCAAAAAATTCCTAACTCAAAATAGCTCCTGAGATAAGAGTGAGGGAGAGAAAGGTTGAAGGGTAGTGGGAGAAGATCATCAAGAAGGTTAGGAAATTGAGAAACTTAAGCATAAGGTATGTAGATGTATATCTTAATTAACTCCTACAACTCTCATTTTTCTTAAATAGTGGGAGAGACCCTCATAATCATGATACTCAAGGGTTGGAATTGTGGTTCTAGGTGTGTGTAGGAAGTTACTGTGAGTGTTTTGACTTAACTTGAAATAGCTATGAGCAGTTACAATCTATTCTTCAATTGAGTTGCTTGAATTCAATTATGTGGCATGGCTTTGTGTATATAAGTTTATGTGTGTGTAAAGTTAGGAATCTCATGAAATTAAGTGTGTATATGAGCTTTGGATTAATGATCTAACTTATATTAGGATTGATATGTGTTGTAGTTCATGTTTACATGATTTTGGAACCAAAGTCTATCAATGTACAAGCTTATTTTGGGCTTTATAAAAACCTATCAAAGTGGGATTGTTGATGGAATTTCGGACTGCAGAATGTAGCAAATCGCCACATGTGCGGGGTCATTGCTGCACGTGCGGGAACCCACGCCGCACGTGCAGGAGTCATGGCCGCATGTGCGGAAAAATGGTGAGTTTTGGGTGTTTGAACACTGCTAGAAAAGCACGTGCGAAGCATCACTGCCGCACGTGCGGGACCCTTTGCCGAACGTGCGGGGCTCACAGCCGCACGTGCAGCCCAAGCTGGAAAACACGAGTTGCTCCGTTTTACGTGCTGGATCCTCTAATGTTGTCGAAACCTGCAATTGATGTTGTTTTGATGTTCGTTAATTCAGTCGAAGTAAAACGAGTCAGGGATTGATTTAACAAGAAAAAGAGGAATTAATTTGAATCTTTGTGTATGTGTAGGACACGCTTCAGGAGGAACTAGTGCCCCGCCGCAACACAGTGAGTAATAGTACTATCGATGTACCTTAATCACATTAACAATTATTGTTATTGACATTATGTTTAACATGTATGCTACTTGGGAAATGGTGTGAAATTATGAAATTGAGAAACAGTGTGAACTTATGGAAACATTGAAAGAACTTGTGAAATATGAATCTATGAGGTTGAGGGCCAACTTGTGAAATATGAATCTATGAGGCCGAGGGCTAACTTGTGAAATATGAATCTATGAGGCCGAGGGCCAACTTGTGAAATTATGAATCCAAAAGGCCAAGGGCCAATTTGTGAAGTTATGAATCTATGAGGCCAAGGGCTAATTTGTGAATATGTGAACCCAGCAGGCCAAGGGCCAATCTGTGAAGTTGTGAACCGACAAAGTCGTTCTGCAAATTTGTACAGAATCAGACTAACTACATAATTTTTGCATTACTTATGCTTTTATATGTGTTACAATTTTAATTGATTATTGAAGCATTCAAGTACTATTGTTCACTGAGCCTGGCTCACTCCATATTATGTCTGTTTCTGTTTCTATAAGTAACCAACCTGGAGGTCGGTCCTAGTCCTGTCACCATCGCACTTTTGTTAGCCTAAGCATAACCAGGCACTTGGTTGGAACTGTATATTTTTGTGGTGTTTTGCTAGACGATGGCTTGCATTCTAGTTATTGACTTAGGAAAAAATGTATATGATGTTTTTGTTATACGTCCAACCTTAGGGCTGGATCTGTATGTGCATATGTATATAACTAGCTCAAATGTGTATTTCCTTAGCTCCATTCGTCTTATGCAGTGTTTGTGATCCTGGCATGGTAATAGAAGCTCGATAGATGTCATACTTTCTTATATATTATCATAGAAATCAATGCTTCCATTCAAGCCCTTATGCTATATATCAGGTTAAGTGTCCATTTCTGTATAGGTCATCCCCAAACTTCTAAGGGCGGGTTTGGGGCTTGACCAGTGGTATCAGAGCACGAGTTGCTATCTCACACATGAATCCATTGAGCCTTAGGATGTCTAGAAAAGACTCAGGCATCGCGCATGACATCCTAAAACGTATGAAAAGATTGATGGCAACGTATAATGTACTCTGTTAATGCTAACAATTTGAACTATGTTTATTGGATATAATTGAATGTTATGTAGGATATGGTGAGAACACGAACAGAAGATTCGGAATATGCTACTTCGACAAGGTTGGACAGAATGGAAAGAATGATTATGGAAATGGCAAAGACCTTACGGCAACAATAGCAATAACCGCAACTGCCACTGCCACCGGTACCTCCACTTGTAGTACAAGATTTTCGTGCTGAGGACGGAACCATTACACTCACAAAGGAGTTTAAAAAGATGAAACCGCCGTCATTCAAGGGAGGAATAGAACCGATGAAAGCTGAAGCATGGGTGCTGGGCATAGAGAAACTGTTCGAAGTATTTCCATGTACCGAAGTCCAGAAAGTACAACTTGCTGCCTTCACTCTTGAAGACGAGGCGCGAAGATGGTGGATGCTTACGAGAACCGTGCATCAAAACTTAACATGGGATAGATTTTTGGAGCTGTTCTATGATAAGTACTTTCCCCAAAGTATGCGAGATAAAAAGGTGACTGAATTTGAAACTCTTAGACAAGGAAGTAAGACCGTTGCAGAATATGAAGCTTAATTTGCAGAACTAGCTCGGTTTGCGCCTCATATGGTGGATACGGATTATAAGAAGGCACGGAAATTTTAAGGGGGATTACGGGGTGCTATCCTAGACTGAGTCAATATGTTGAAGCTACCTACTTATGTCGATGTGTTAGAAAGGGTTGTTATAGCAGAAGGAAACATTGTTGCTCAGAATCGGATTTCCAAGTGGAAAGGGAAAAGGCAGAACAATCAATGGCCAAAGGGGTTAGTTACCCCACCAAATAAGAAGCATAATTCAGGGAACTCCAGCACCACCACCCCTGCTCAAAACTCCACTCATGTGTGTTCAGACTGTGGAAGGCAGCATCATGGGACTTGCCACTGGAAGACTGGAGCTTATTTTAAGTGTGGCAAAACGGGTCATTTGGTAAGGGATTATCCGCAGTGGACTCAACAAAAGGACACTAGGACTGCTACAAGTTCCGTGGGGTCTACACCAACCCCCAACACAAAGGCAGCTGCTAAACCTACTAACAATAAAGATACGACAAGGCAAGGGAGGGTGTTTGCATTGGTCCCGGGAGATGTACAACACGCGGCAACAGTGGTGTCAGGTACATTTATTGTTCACGGTCATTCTGCTCACGTATTGTTTGATTCGGGCTCCACCCACTCTTTTGTGTCGAAACTATTTGCTCCTAATCTAGATAAAACTGAAGAAAACTTATATTATATGTTGTGTGTGTCTTCACCTTTGGGAAACTCTATGATCTGTGCTTCTGTATACTTAGCTTGTGAACTTCAACTTGGGGATATTCGGGTGTATGCTAATCTATTACCTCTTGACATGACCTATTTTGATATTATTCTGGGAATGGATTGGCTGAGTGATTATGGTGCAACTATAAACTGCTTGACTAAGAAAATCAGTTTCCACCCTCTGGGACAATCAGAGTCTATTGTTCAGGGATAGGAAGTGACTTCTCCACCTTATCTGATTTCTGCAGTAAAGGCTTGTAAGTTAATTCAAAAAGGGTGTCAGGGGTATTTCTGCAGTAGTTTGGAGGGGCAAATGATGAACGAGGATATCGACATGATTCCAGTTGTTCGTGAATTTTCGGATGTCTTTCCCGAAGAATTACCAGGGCAGTTAATAGACCGTGAAATTGAGTTTATAATTGACGTGGTGCCGGGAACTCAACCCATTTCTAAGACTCCGTATAGGATGTCGCCAGTTGAAATGAAAGAATTAAAGATTCAGTTACAGGATTTGCTTGATAAGGGATTCATCCGTCCGAGTGTATCTCCTTGTGGTGCGCCAGTTTTATTTGTGAAAAAGAAGGACGGAACACTTCGGCTATGTATTGATTATAGGGAACTCAACAAGGTAACAATAAAAAACAAGTACCCCTTACCACGGATTGACGATTTATTTGACCAGCTACAAGGGGCACAAGTTTTCTAAAAAATTGATCTACGGTTTGGATACAATCAATTGAAGGTCAAAGCTGAGGATGTGGAGAAGACAGCTTTTCGAACCCGGTACGGTCATTATGAATTTCTGGTTATGCTTTTTGGAGTTACTAACGCACCGGCAGCGTTTATGGATCTAATGAATCGTGTCTTTAAGCCTTATCTGGACGAGTTTGTGGTAGTCTTTATCAATGATATCCTTATATACTCAAAGAGTGCAGAGGCTTACGAGAATCATCTTCGGCTAATTCTTCAAACACTTCGAGAGAAGAAGTTATATGCAAAACTGAAAAAATGTGAATTTTAGCTACAAGAGGTGGCATTTCTAGGATATGTCATAACAAAGGAAGGAGTCTCTGTTGATCCACATAAAATTAAAGCGATTGTGAATTGGCCAATTCCTACTAATGTAACTGAAGTGCGTAGTTTCATGGGATTAGCCGGTTATTACAGGAGGTTTGTTCAAGATTTTTCCAAAATCGCTGTGCCGCTTACACAATTGACTCGAAAGGGGGTTGCATTTGAATGGTCAGAAGAGCGGGAACTTGCTTTCCAGGAGTTGAAAACAAAGTTAACTACAACACCAGTTCTGGCCCTACTATCCGGTACCGAAGGGCTTGTAATCTACAGTGATGCTTCGCATAAAGGGCTTGGTTGTGTACTTATGCAAAATGGAAGAGTTATTGCTTATGCCTCTTGACAGTTGAAACCCCATGAAAAGAATTATCCCACACACGACCTTGAACTAGCAGCAGTAGTTTTTGCTTTGAAGATATGGCGGCATTATCTGTATGACACTACTTGCAAGGTTTATACCGATCACAAAAGTCTCAAGAACCTTTTTACCCAGAAGGAGTTGAACATGCGACAGCGGTGAGGGTTAGAGCTGATTAAGGACTATGATTTGCAGATCCATTACCATCCTGGTAAAGTCAATACGGTTGCAGATGCACTTAGTCGAAAAAATATGGGAGATTTGGCGAACCTATTTACGGAACAAAAGGAGTTGGTGATTGAATTGGATAAACTGAATGTAGATCTTGTGGTATGTGGACAGGAGGTTGTAATAGCAGCAGTAATGGCTCAACCAACTTTACTTGAAGAGATCACGTTATGTCAAATGGGGGATAAAACTCTAAGGAAGATATGTGATGAGTTGGAGACAAAACCAAAACCGAGGTTTAGGTTAATGGATTTGGTGCTCAAGTTTCAAAACAGAATATGTGTCCCCAATGTATTGGAACTTAAACGGAAATTGATGGAGGAAGCACATGCCTCGAGATTTTCAATGCATCCGGGAAGTACGAAAATGCACCAGGATTTGAAACAAAACTTTTGGTGGCCAAGTATGAAAAAGGAGATCGCGGAATTCATTTCTAAATGTCTACAGTGTCAGCAAGTGAAGGCAGAACATCAGAGATCGGCAGGATTATTGCATGCCCTTCCAATCCCGAAATGGAAGTGGGAACATCTGACGATGGATTTTGTTGTGGGGTTACCACGGACACCTCGGGGTATGAATTCTATATGGGTCGTTGTAGACCGATTAACTAAGTCCGCTCACTTCTTACTAGTAAAGACTCAATATAATACAGATAAACTGGCGATAATTTATGTGAATGAAATTGTGAGGCTTCATGGTGTCCCGGTCTCAATTGTGTCAGATAGAGATCCGAAATTTGTTTCAAGATTTTGGCAAGGTTTGCAGCAAGCAATGGGTACAGAATTAAAGTTTAGCATAGCCTTCCATCTGCAAACCGATGGACAATCTGAGAGAATGATACAGACATCAAAGGATATGCTCCGAATGTGTGTTTTGGATTTCCAAGAAAGTTGGGAGACCCACCTACCCTTGGTAGAGTTCGCGTATAATAATAGTTACCATTCGAGTATTGAAATGGCACCCTATGAAGCCCTATATGGAAGACCGTGTCGTTCTCCCGTATGTTGGGCTGAGGTTGGAGATAGATTATTGCTAGGGCCTGAAATTGTTCAGTTGACAACTGAAAAGGTTAAAATTATTCAGGAAAGATTGAAAGCTGCTCAAAGTAGGAAGAAAAGTTACGTGGATAACCGACGACGGGATTTGGAGTTTGAAGTAGATAGTTATGTCTTTGTGAAGGTCACCTCGATGACAGGGCACCCATGATTCGGAAAAAGGGGTAAGTTAACACCCCGGTATGTTGGTTCCTTTTCAATTTTGGAGAGGGTAGGTCCGGTAGCTTACCAGGTTACCCTTCCGCCAAATATGAGTCAAGTACATAACGTATTCCATGTTTCTATGCTCCAAGGATACCTTCCAGATCCGTCCCATATCATAGATCATCACCAGATCATATTGAATGACACATTAACCTATGAGGAGAAACCAATTTGAATTCTAGACCGACAAGTAAAACAGTTACGAAACCGAGGAATTCCAATGGTAAAGGTTGAGTGGCAAGAGCATTACGGAACCGAAGCAACTTGGGAAAAAGAAGAGGAAATGCAACATCAGTATCCGTATCTGTTTCAATCGTAAGGTAAACCAAGTTTGAGAGACCAAACTTCTTTAAGGGGGAGAGAGTGTAATAACCTGACCCTCGTATATGATTTTGGTATGATTTCAGTCCCTAACTTTTGTGCTTTTAAGTGCTCATTGTGAAATTTCATGTGAACTTAAGTTTAATTAAGTGAACTCTATGTTTAGGAATGCATATCTATTTAGTAAGGAAAAGATCTGTCACAATTGGAATGTTTGACTCAGAAATTGAGAGCCTTAGAGGCTTGATAATCCAAAATTGATTATACAATTGGAATCAACATAATTTTTAAGTAATAATGAGCATTTTTGTGAAATTTCAATTTGGGATGTTTAAACGATTACTTTTTGTCCTATTCACCTCACCTCTTATAGATATATGTGTGTGTTCATTGGCCATTTAATCAAAAAGTTCCTAACTCAAAATAGCTCCTGAGATAAGAGTGAGGGAGAGAAAGGTTGAAGGGTAGGGGGAGAAGATCATCAAGAAGGTTGGGAAATTGAGAAACTTAAGCATAAGGTATGTAGATGTTTATCTTAATTAACTCCTACAACTCTCCTTTTTCTTAAATAGTGGGAGAGACCCTCATAATCATGATACTCAAGGGTTGGAATTGTGGTTCTAGGTGTGTGTAGGAAGTTAATGTGAGTGTTTTGACTTAACTTGAAATAGCTATGAGCAGTTACAATCTATTCTTCAATTGAGTTGCTTGAATTCAATTATGTGGCATGGCTTTGTGTATATAAGTTTATGTGTGTGTAAAGTTAGGAATCTCATGAAATTAAGTGTGTATATGAGCTTTGGATTAATGATCTAACTTATATTAGGATTGATATGTGTTGTAGTTCATGTTTACATGATTTTGGAACCAAAGTCTATCAATGTACAAGCTTATTTTGGGCTTTATAAAAACCTATCAAAGTGGGATTGTTGATGGAATTTCGGACTGCAGAATGTAGCAAATCGCCGCATGTGCGGGGGTCATTGCTGCACGTGCGGGAACCCACGCCGCACGTGCAGGAGTCATGGCTGCACGTGCGGAAAAATGGTGAGTTTTGGGTGTTTGAACACTGCTAGAAAAGCACGTGCGGAGCATCACTGCCGCACGTGCGGGGCCCTTTGCTGCATGTACGGGGCTCACAGCCGCACGTGCAGCCCAAGCTGGAAAACACGAGTTGCTCCGTTTTACGTATTGGATCCTCTAATGTTGTCAAAACCTGCAATTGATGTTGTTTTGATGTTCGCTAATTCAGTCGAAGTAAAACGAGTCAGGGACTGATTTTACAAGAAAAAGAGGAATTAATTTGAATCTTTGTGTATGTGTAGGACACGCTTCAGAAGGAACTAGTGCCCTGCCGCAACACAGTGAGTAATAGTACTATCGATGTACCTTAATCACGTTAACAATTATTGTTACTGACGTTATGTTTAACATGTATGCTACTTGGGAAATGGTGTGAAATTATGAAATTGAGAAACAGTGTGAACTTATGGAAACATCAAAAGAACTTGTGAAATATGAATCTATGAGGCCGAGGGCCAACTTGTGAAATATGAATCGATGAGGCCGAAGGCCAACTTGTGAAATTATGAATCCAAAAGGCCAAGGGCCAATTTGTGAAGTTATGAATCTCGGTTATGAATCTATGAGGCCAAGGGCTAATTTGTGAATATGTGAACCCAGCAGGCCAATGGCCAATCTACGAAGTTGTGAACTGACAAAGTCGTTCTGCAAATTTGTACAGAATCAGACTAACTATATAATTTCTGCATTACTTACGCTTTTATATGTGTTACAATTTTAATTGATTATTGAAGCATTCAAGTACCATTGTTCACTGAGCCTGGCTCACTCCGTATTATGTCTGTTTCTATTTTTGTAGGTAACCAACCTGGAGGTCGGTCCTAGTCCTGTCACTATCGCACTTTTGTCAGCCTAAGCATAACCAGGAACTTGGTCGGAACAGTATATTTTTGT